GTCAAACTTATGACAATAGTGAGTAATTGGATAAATAGCAATCCCCTTCAATTGAATGCCGAACCGGATATACACATTATCATCTTCTTCAATCTAAAACAAAACCCATTGAAAATCAGATAGGCAAACCCACCACCCACCCCACAACCAAAAAAAAAAAAAAAACTATGGAAAAAAAAAAATTAAAGAGAGAGAGTGGCGCTAGGGTTAAAACCAGAAATTAAGTCCATACAATTACCTGGAAAAACAAGACTTGACAAATAAAAAATACAACCGAAAGAGGAAAACTGGAAGAACAGATAAAAGATAAAGCCCACAACAATGCAAATAAGGAGACAATAGCAGGAAACTAGAGGATTGTCTAGCCTTAATTTCACAATCTCAATCTGAGCCATGGTGAAACTTTAAAGTGTCTTTGCATCTCTCGAGAAAGCAAAGCAATGGAAAGCCCAGACTAGGAACATTAGGATTTGGAACTTTCGTTTTAGATAGTGGCATGTAACATTAGGCTCTTCATAAAGTCCGTTGTACCCATGCTTAAGTCTGCCATTTATTTATCTATTTGTTAAAGAATGAAATTTTAGAGGATTCTTGTTCCAAAAGAAAAAAGGTTAAAGAACCTGGTAAAGTGGCTCTAGACTCTAGTCATGTTTGTAAGGTTCATACCCTCCTCCCTCAGGGCAACGGTTCGAGCCGGTCCCATGACAAAAATGTTCAAAAAAAAAAAAGAAGTTAAAGTTTAGGACTTCAAACTTGAATTGCATTCACATTTCTTGTTGAAGTCCACGTAGGAGGGAAAGGGGGAGAAAAATAAGAAAATAATTTTGAAATAATTTGTTTGTACCATTTTTTTTGTATAACTTAACGTGTCACTTTAATAATTAGCTCATTTCATTCACTTTAATAATTAGCTCATTTCATTCATTTAAGACCGTAATATTGAGTGCATCTATCTATTTAATAACTATGAAAGTTATATAAAAAAATGATATAAAAAAATTATCTCTATTTCACCACCCAAAAAAATACTGTAGAAAGCAGATTAATCAAATCTAGTGCCTGTAGCGGCCCAAAATTCTCATGGCTGCAAATGCATCATAGCATACCTATGACCAAAGCAAATATTTTGATGAATAAATAAATATTGAAT